CTAACTCCCAATGGACAAAAAAGAAACTTTTTTACTCTGTTTATTCTAAATATATCAGGAGAAGCATAGCCAACAAATCAGTTTCAGCTGAATCCTTCTTCAGCCTTGAAACAAAATAAGCTAAATAACCTTTTCACAGTTTGGTGTCCTCTTCACTTCATTTCCCAGCACTCTTCTCGGTTCCCATCTGCACATCATTCCCAAGCAATCACTATAAAGACACCTTCCTCACCCCAGTTCCTTGTCTGACTTTGATTGTTGATTTGTGTGATGTGGACTCATCTTCCTGTCTCCAGCTCCATCCTCGATCACCCTTTGGACTCCACTACCCTGTTCACCTCATCCCTGCACTTGTTATTCAATAAATCATTCTTCACCATCATTCTTTCTCTCCTGTGTTCATATCTGCAACTCCTATAGCTACATCTGCACAGCTTTGCTAACCTGTGGCTAACACTAGGAGTTTAACATGAGGTCGGCTGTATGCAAAGGTGTTTAGAGATGGTCTTGTACAGTGTGACCGTCTTGCTTGTTACAAGCAATTAACCACAAAGTCTCAGCTTTGTAAGAGTATAACGAACCCATCTTTTTTCTGTTTGACCTTATGCATCAAATTATCACGATTTTCTTTATCTCAACAGGAAGAGTGTTAAAATGATGTTAAATGTCCCAATGTTAAATTGTTAAAAATGGTTAAATCGTTTTGTGCATTGAGAAAAAAGATTTAGCCTATATTGTGCATGCATACTTTTTGTGTTTGTATTGGATCTTTGTATCATAACGCATAAAGTACGCAAATAGCCTAGCAAATAATTGTAAATGAGAAAGGCTAGTAATGGAAATTTTCCCCATTTTAGATCATAAATTAGCATGACATAGCTGTGCAGTGTACATTATTACAAGGGTTTTTACCATTAGATGTGAAAACGTCAAAAAAGGTTCTCAAAAAATATTGAGAAACTTGAAGAACCAGAATCACTGCTGAAGAATCAGCGTTATTAATGTTACTTTTCTCACCGCTGGCCAGAATGGACCAATCAAATACATTTGTGATATTGTAAAAGAATGCATAAATATGATTGTGTTTTCAGAAAGATTGATAAATCATGTTTCCATTTATATGTCAGCTGCAACGTCCTGAGAATATATATATGTAAAAGTTTACTCTTTTAGAGTACAAATTTGTCCTGTAAGATAAAATCCATCCAATGCCTCTCCAATGCAGATTCAGTTTTCTGGGCCTTCACACGCCCTCTGGAGGAACACTATGGTTTAACAGAACCTTTTTTTTATTTTTTTTATTGCAGAATCTACATAAGACAGGGAACAGTCAATCAACAATGTAAGCAAGTAGTCGATATAGACATCAATGAAAAAGAAAATATTTTGACAGAGAGAAACATAGAATTTCAGACTTGCTATTATGTTTTTTGAAACATTACTTAAAATAAGCACATCTTGTTGGGTTATAGGAGAAATTGTCTCCATTTTTACTGACAAACAGCTATGTATATCAAACCAAAATTATGTATATCAAACTAAACAACAATGATGAAGCCTCAAAATGAAATCGTTTCTGTATAAAATCATCACCTGGTTAAATCTTAATTTTGTAACAAGTCTCTTTGACCTTTGGAGCAACTGGGTAAGATATACAGTAACAGGTAAAAGCTTCATCCCTTACTGAGGTTTCAACATCTCCCAGAAAATGACACTGATAGTCAAGTCAAGTCATCTTCATTTATATAGCGCTTTTAACAATGTAAATTGTTCCAAAGCGGCTTTACAGTGATAAAAGAAAAATAAAGTAACAGATTGTTTTGGCTTTATGACAGCTCTAGAATAAAGTTATTTTCCAGTTAAAGTTAGTTTTGATTGATTCACTTCCGTCGCAACGATCATTAGTTATTAACTTAGGGGCCGCTAACACGACACCGTTTTAACAGAAAACTCTTAAGTTCTCTCTACGTAAACTTTAAAAACGCAGACCTGTGAGAACGCTGATGGTGTGCACATGCACATTAAGAGTTCATTCTATAGGTCTGCGCGTTTGAATATATGTGCGCAGGCATGTAGTCCTTCCCTAAAAAACCAACCCTCAACAAACTACTTGTCTGGCCTTAAAATTTATAATACTGAATTGTATCGCTTCGGCGTAGCCACGTGAACCGGAATTATCCCGACAACGATTATCTGTACAGAGGTAAGGGGAAGGAGGCCTTCACAGGGGAGGGACTAGTGACACTTCAGGATTGCATTGTCGTCGTGTCCGGGCGCAGGTCCTTCATCAGATCTGGATACGGCCTGGATACGGCCTGGATCCGGCGGTCTGCGGTAAACCTGGGGATAAACAGAGAGACTAATATAAGCGTAGACGCCATCCTTCTTATGATGTAACAAGTATACATCAGGATTTAAGGGAAGTGTTCCCGGTTCCGGCTGACCTAATCTATGCAGCCTAACACTGAATTATAGAAGTCGATAATGTGTTATGTGAATGCTAGGTCAAAGAGATGTGTTTTTAGTAGGGCTGTCAGTTAAACGCGTTATTAACGGCGTTAATTTTTTTATCGTGCGATTAACAGTCTTTTTGTCCTAGCAAACTTTGTAGTTTTTTTCACATGCTTTTGCAACAAGACGCGGCATGCGCTGGATAAAACCCATTTATTTCAATGGCTTGCGCCGCGCAAGGACGTTTTGTTGCTTCGTCGACCAAAGTGCAAGCGGATCTAGCTAGACCTGAAACAAAACAACAGGCACGCCGCACACACTTGTTTGGGTCTGCGAGCCGGCCAAATAGAAGGTTAACATTACGGTTTGAGTGGATGACGAGTGCGAGACGCCGAAATGGGTGCCAATACGATTCTGAATGGAAAGTTTACTTTTAAAAAGTTGCCAAATGATTTTTTTGTCGTTGTGAACTGAGCTATCATTGATGGCCAAGCACACACATACAGCTGATGCGAATTCTTCGCCCCCTCGTCAATATCAGGACCTCATCAGTATTTCTTTCACCCTTTTATTGATGGACAGTGTTACATTGTGTGAGAGATTATTTGCTCCAAGTGAGAATGTTAGTGTGAAATTGAACACAGTATTGTCAATAGTGTTTTCAATAAAAAAACACATGCACAAAGCAAGCCGATCCACTTTTCCATATTGATAAGAGCATTAAAATGAGAAAAAAGAATGGGACAAAAAGAAATCAAGAGACATCTAGAATAGATAAAAATGTGTGATTAATTGCGATTAATCGCGAGTTAACTATGACATTATTTTAATCGTTTGACAGCACTAGTTTTTAGTCTAGCTTTGAACTGCCAGAGTGTACAATGGTAGGAAAACTGTTCCAAAGTTTTGGTGCTAAATAGGAAAAGGATCTACCACCAGCAGTCGATTTTGATATTCTAGGTATTATCAACTGGCCAGAGTTTTGAGATCGCAATAGACGTGAAGGACTATAATGCGTTAAGAGCTCGCTCAAGTACTGCGGAGGTAAACCATTTATGTCACAGTCATCGTCTGCACCTTCTGTCGTCGTCTTCACTACACTTCCCAGAATCCTCCTTGTCTCCACACCTGAACTCACTCCCTCAATCACCCACCTGTTCTTTGTCATTATCATCTGTGTCACCTGTCTTCACTAATCTATGTTAATCAATGTCTGTATTTAGTCCCTTCAGTTCAGTCACTCTTGGTCAGTAGTTAGTCTTATGTTGCGTGAGTTATCCTGCCTGTTTGTACCTGCCTGATGTTTCTTTATTAGTAAAAGGATTTGCATTGGAGATCTCGCCTTGTTTTCTTCTTCTGCCTGCACCACGTCGTGACAATTTAGTGTTTTGTAAGCAATCAGCAATATTTTAAAATTTATACGATGTTTAATAGGGAGCCAATGCAGTGTTGACAGAACCGGGTTAATATGGTCATACTTCTTGCTTCTGGTAAGAACTCGAGATGCTGCGTTTTGGACCAGCTGTAGTTTGTTTATTAAGCATGCAGGGCAACCACTCAGTAGAACATTACAATAATCTAGCCATAATAGTCACCAGTGATAATACGTGTATGTTCTTTGTAAATAATAAGTACAAGGCGAAATAAATAAGTTTGTTATTGCACTTACTGTCTAAGAGGTCTATATTACATATTTTTAAAGAGGGAAGAGCAACAACAGGTCTAGAAAAACTGCTTTGGATTGTTTTTACACTCTAAATCTTGGGTTATTTTTTCTACCCAAATCCTGGGTTGAGCCTTTTGGGTCATATATTTTCAGTGTTTAGGTAGTTTTGTGTTACCCTGCTCCTGGGTCAAATGTAACAATCCAATGTTTGGGAAGTTTTTGTGTAACCCAGATCCCAGGTCAGACATAACAACCTGGTGTTAGGGTTAGTCATTAGATGTTAGGGTTTTTGTGCTATCCAGATACCGGATCAGACGTAACAACCCAGGCCAGGGGTTGAGTTATTTATCACAGGCTTTTTGCGACCTCTTCAGGAGAGAGCATTCAGCTCCTTCAAATTGTTGCATGTCTTCAGCAAAATAGAGGTTTTTGTACATTTCATTTTATCTATAAATACGTTATTGTTCTGTACATCATTTAATTTAATGCAAAGCAACATACAGGGGCGCGATGTGTGACGAGTGTCGTGTCAGTCTTTTTGCCTGATGGAAACGCCTGATGCCTTGCATAAAATTTTAGTATTTAAAAAATATACAGAAATAAATGCTTAGAAAGTTAAAATATGTTCTTAGAACTGTACACTGATTGTTTATGGACAGATTATGGAGTCAGTCACAGTATATTCCGGCTACAAGTGAAACGCAGGGCGGCGGTCTGAAGTTCCCCCGTCTGAACATGACACAACAAGCTTAAATGTATGCAATTTGTATTATAAAATAAGCTATAACGTATACCAAGCAAGCCTCAAAATTACCACCACATTGACCATGGGACTGTGCCATCGACCTGGGTCTACCCACTCTCCATCCCCGAACAGAAGGCCATGGAGGAGTATGTGAAAGAGACTCTTAATCAAGGTTACATCCGTCCCTCCACTTCTCCTGCTGTTTCCAGCTTGTTCTTTGTGGCTGAGAAAGATGAGGCTTGTGGCCTTGCATAGATTACCGGGCATTACTGGGTAAATGTCCACAGTTTATCTCATGTGTTTGGAAGACCTCTTCTTCTCCCTTCCATAAGTCTCACATCTGATACCAACCATAGTCCACTGGGCAGATGGAAAGAAAGGTGCAGGAGGTCAGCCTCTTTTAGAGAATGTTCTGCCAGAGCCACCAGCACTTCTGGAACCAGTTCCTCGCCTGGGCCAAGTATGCCCAGAAATCCCTCTCACAGCCAACGACAGATCTCACTCCATTTCAATGCATAAACAGTTTTCAGCCTCCATTATTACCCTGATCAGATGAGCCTTGTGATGTTCCTTCCTTTAACCACTATTTCCAGGAAAGCGAGAGGGAGTGGCACGAAGCTCATCACCATCTTCAGCGGGCAGTCCACAGACACAAGAGTTATGCTGACTCTCGACAAGGCAACACTCCCACCTACCATCCAGGACAGCTAGTATGGCTCTCGACACGGGACATCCGTCTGCGTCTGCCCTGCCGTAAGCTTACTCCCAAGTACATCGGTCCATTCCAGGTCGTAAGACAAATCAACCCTGTCACATATAAACTCAAGCTCCCTGCAGAGTACAGAATTCACACCACATTCCATGTCTCCCTATTGAAACGTGACTATAACGCAGTTCGGATGTTATGGGAAGAAGGAGGTGGGAACCGGCAACATTTAAAGAATTTAATAACAAAATAAAACAGCGCCAGCGCCTTTTTCTTGTGTTTGAAAAGGTGAGAGGCGGCCATCTTTATATTCAAACATTCTCACCAACTGTCAAAATAAGAGTCCCTTCAAAATAAAGGATCCTAAATCTAACAAAACATACCAGTGCTCCAATAGCACAACAATTTAGGTTAAACTAAACTCAAAATAGCTCCTACATAGCCGGCCCCTTATAGCTATTGCAGAAGGCAAGCTATAACTAACTAAATGTAATTTTCCAAGGAGCTATATATTATTTCCTTAAACTCATTATGCATTATTCACAAGAATAAATGGGTGCAAAGATTCAGTATATGCATCTGTATGATAGTGTGTGCACGTGCGCAAGTTCGTTCAAGTCTCACTCAGCTTCAGAATGTTGGCCTTCTACTAGCAAGCAGATTTTACTGATAGGTCTTTCAAGCTGGCTTGTTTTAGTTTGAAGCCGTACGCTGCGGACCAAGCCTTTGGAATCAGGGAAGGCTTCAGTGATTCTAGCCAGCATCCATGATCCTCTTGGCGCTGTGCTATCGGCTACTAGCACAACGTCTCCTGGACAGAAGTTGCGTCTGACACGAGACCATTTTTGCCGTGTTTGCAGGAGAGGGAGGTACTCTCTGACCCAGCGTTTCCAAAATAAGTCGGCAATGTACTGGACCTGTCTCCAACGATGCCTGATGTAAAGATCTTCTTTCACAAACAAACCTGGAGGTAGAACAGGCTGCACCTTAAGTTGCAATATATGGTTAGGCGTTAATGGCTCCAAGTCATTTGGGTTATCAGAAACAGTCGTGAGTGGACGGCTATTGAGAATGGCCTCAACCTCACACATTACTGTCTGAAGGCCTTCATCATCCAGATACTGCTGGCTGGTGACTGACCGTAATGTCGTTTTGACCATGCGAATCAACCTCTCCCATACCCCTCCATAATGGGCACCATGGGGAGGGTTAAATGTCCATTTTACCCCCTTTTGGAGCAGACTTTTTTCAATTTGTTGCATGTTCCAAGATTTCAAGGACTTGTTTTGACATTAAGTTGTGCCTTTTAAACACCATTCTTCAATCACCTACCAATCGTTTGTTGAATTTGTGGTCTTCCACCGACATTTGTTTCTTTTCCTCAAAACTCTTTTCTGGGAATTCATGGTTGTATTGCTGAATCAAAAGTTCACTCAGGCTATCAACAGAAATCCGATGTGCATGAACATATTTCTGACCTTGCTTGTTGATGCATGCATTCTCAGTATGGAGAAGTCCATTCACCACCCAACCTAGCAGTGTTTTAACAGCAAAGGGTCCATTACCCTGGCTATTGATAATTCTCCAAGGTTCCATCAATTTGGGTGCATTAATCCCAATCAGAAGGTCAATCCCAGCATTAATGTTGGGAATATCAACATCTTGAAGATAAGGCCATTTTCGAATATCTTCTCGTCTGGGGATATGTTCTCTGTTGACTGGAATTTCCTGCTGAGTGTACACTTCAGGTAACTTTATGAATTCCTTTCCTTCCAGGCTACACATGCACAGATTGATGCACATCTTTAAATTCATCCAATGTCCAAGTAGTGTTCAATAATGATTCAAAAGCGTTTCGATAGCAAAGTAAAGAACTGTATGCCTATACGTTCCAACAGCTTCCTTGTTCTTTTTCTTGTGTTTGAAAAGGTGAGAGGCGGCCATCTTTATATTCAAACATTCTCACCAACTGTCAAAATAAGAGTCCCTTCAAAATAAAGGATCCTAAATCTAACAAAACATACCAGTGCTCCAATAGCAAAACAATTTAGGTTAAACTAAACTCAAAATAGCTCCTACACTAAGAAATGACAAAGTAAGGGCGGAACTAAGAAATTATTATATTAATATATTATAGCCTTGGACAGCATTCAAATGAAGTTTACTATCAATAAATGATAAAAGAATATGTAAGAACATAACCCAGAATGACAGCACAGCAGAAAGGTTTGTTTGAGCAGCGCCCTCTACTGTACAGGCATACATTTGCATTTCCTTCAGCTAGGAAGAGAGAGCAACAGCCGGCTGAGGTGAGAAAAGCAGTGGCGGAGCCAGAAGGGTAGTTGGGGTGGCAATTGCCATCGCAACCCACAAGTGGGTCATTGATAATTCTGCAGGGGGTCGCAAGACTTCAGTGTTCACTAGCACAGCCAATCAGTGGGCTTCACAATAGGCTCATTGCAATACGTGCAAGTGCAACAAAATAATCCGTTAGTAAACGCATTGGCGGCTCAATCGGACTAAAAAGCCTTAACACCTAATCATATAAATGCGCACAGATTGAAACAAAAGTTGTAAACATAGCCAGTCCTCCAACGAATCTGATTTTCGAATGTCGTACTGTCTTCATTATTGCCGTGGCTTCTAACGCTGTATTTCAACTATCCTATCAAAATAATTTATTATTGCCGCGAAAGGCTCTTATTGGACAAGTTCATACTCTATTTACATAATGTTACTAGCCCTACCTGCTATGCCAGACCTTATTATTAAATTATACGCAGCCACGGTCTGTTAGCTTGACAAAATGCATCCGTTTTTTAAAAGAAAAAACGCAGAAGGTTCGGAAACTCCTTCAACTTCAAAGGCAGCAAAATGTACAACCCGGACTATATTAAATATGGATTTACTTCTTCGAACGAAAAACCACAGTGTGTCGAGTGTGGTGAGGTCTTGGCAAATGAGTCCATGAAGCCATCCAAACTTGAACGTCACCTACAGACTAAACATCCAACATGTGTGGGTAAACCTGTGGATTACTTTGTACGAAAGCGAGACCTACTTAAAAGACAGCAAAGTAGTATTGTGTCGCTCACAATAGCTTCAAAAAGCACCCTGAAGGCAAGTTATCTGGCAGCTGGCCATATCGCCCGTGCTAAGAAATCGTTTAATATTGGTGAAGAGCTAGTTATCCCATGTGCAGTTGACATGTGCCGCGAGGTACTAGGGGAAAGTGCTGCTAGCAAAATAAAAGAAATCCCACTCTCCAACGACACTGTCTCCAGACGGATTATAGACATGAGCGATGATATTGAAACGCAACTTTTGGATCGAGTGCGAGCAAGCCCCTTGTTTGCCATTCAAATCGACGAATCAACAGATATTTCAAAGATGGCTTTATTGCTTGCATTTGTACGCTACAACTGCGAAGGTGCAACACATGAGGATCTGATGTGTAATGAGCTCTCGACACGGACGACAGCAGATGAGTGTTTCAATTGTCTTGATGACTATTTCACAAAGAATGGCCTGGTTTGGAAAAATTGCGTAGGTATTTGCACGAATGGCGCGGCCGCAATGACAGGCAAACATAGTGGTGTTGTGAGAAAAATTTTGGACAGAGCACCCGAGGCGACGTGGGTTCACTGCTTTTTACACCGTGAAAGCCTTGCAGCCAAAGAAATGTCAGTGCCCTTAAATGAGGTAATGGACTTTGCTGTCAAAACAATTAATTTAGTGAAGAACAGTGCTCTCAGTTCCCGCTTGTTTTCAATTTTGTGCGACCAGCTGGAATCAGACCACCGCCAGTTGTTATATCATAGTGAAATTAGGTGGCTCTCGCAAGGAAAAGCTCTTAATCGTCTTTTCGAAATGCGCAAGCAGGTGCACACATTTCTGGAGGAGAAACGGTCTCCCCTGGCAAAGCATTATACGGAGCCTGAATTTCTCGGGAAACTGGCATACATGTCCGATATCTTTGACCAGCTAAACCAGCTAAACCTATCCTTTCAGGGGAGAAACAACAGTGTTTTCTTGATGGCTGACAAAATTGAAGCATTCAAACGGAAGTTGGTATTGTGGGAGAAGAGAGTGCAGGAGAACATTTTTGACATGTTTCCTAACCTCACTGATGTTCTGCAGGAATTCCCTCACATCAGCACCGACATACAGAGAATTGTCCGGGAACACCTGACCAGATTAACACAGAAATTCTCCGATTATTTTCCCAACGACCGAAGAGTTGGGAATGCGTGGATTCGCGATCCTTTTTCAGTAGATCCAAGTGATGTGGATGTTGTACTCCCCATTAATTTGCAAACACAGTTAGTGGAACTTGCATCTGACGGAAGCCTGCAGCTTGCTTTTCGCAAAACAGACCTGAGCTCATTCTGGATTCAAACCAGACACGAATATCCTGAACTCGCAGAACGTGCAACGAAGTTTCTCTTGCCATTTAGCACTACCTATCTTTGCGAATCAGGATTTTCAACAGTGACTGCAACGAAAACAAAAAGCAGGAATAGGCTGACAACAGCTAGTTTGTGTGCGACGCTACGAGTCGCAATTTCCCAAATTCCACCGCGTCTGGATATGATTATTTCAGAGCGGCAGTCCCAAGTGTCACATTAACTTGAGCAACAAAAAAAAATCTGTTTGCCTCATAGTCTTGTCTATTGAAAATGTTTCTGTGTTTTTGTGAAATTAATTATAATAAACATAGGCATACGGAGTAGTAGCCTATATATCTAAGAGGCATTTCAGTTAATGTTTACCTTATCCCAGGTATTACCCTTCTGTACTTATTTATTCTATTTGCTTCTTTCTCTTTTATCTCCTTTTTTTCTTCTGTCTTAATTGTTTCTATTTCTCATATATTCTTTTTTTTTATTATTAATGGAATATGATGTGTTGACCTGCCAAGGGACTACAGATGATAGCTTTTCTGCTAACTCTGGCGCATTTACATTTTGAGTGATGTCAATTGATGTGCATTGTCCCTTTTAAATAAAAAAAAATAAAAAATTGAATTATTTCCAGCCTTAGTGGGTCGTATGACTGGCATACGAAAAAAAAGTGGGTCGCAGTAGGCAAAAGGTTGAGAAACCCTGCTCTAGACAACACAACACAAAACCAGACCGATTACAATTAATACAATTTGTGTTTTATAAATACAGCAAGTTTATGTTGGAAAAAGTTCAAACATCTAACATCA